TGGCCTCAATTTAAGAGCGTGTTTTTCAATAGGAATGTTGCTGTATGACTTCCCAGTGACGTTTTGGCACTCCTGTTATGTCATTTCTTTTAATTTTAATAGTTTTTGGACATATAGTTGATATATCTGGGTCAATTCCGGATAAGTAGGAATAGCCGGTTCTACGTTACCGAAATTCACCCGAATTGTATCCGTCCAAAGGCGGTTCTTTCGGAGATCTAACCTAGATTAGGTCGTTAAGTTTTACAATAAAATTTTAATAGTCGACAAGTGCGATACATATTCCATGCATACAACATTTTTCTGCTTTTTGAGCAAGTTAGGAATTGATGCCACCAAAACTCAGCTATATTTTTTGATATATATATGAGATCAAAGCATTATTTCACTAACTGTGATGAAACCCTAAGAGACTTTATGGATTTCAAAGCCCCTGCCTATCTGTGTAAATAAGTGTATTCCCTGTTATGAGCGCATCCCTTGTCGAAACCAGAGAGCTTTCTTTAATTGCTGTAATGTCCACCTGGAAGACACTACAGCGGTTTGATAGACGGAAGGTGATTTTAGTACCTCGCTTTGCCGAAAAATACCACTCGTTTTTACCTATACCTGCGCAGTAGTTTACCTCGCCCCTTTGACAAGATACCTTTATAAAACTTGAAACTGATTATTATCTAAGGCATCACTACAATCTCCGTACTAATTCTTTAATCGGACCTCAATGCTGTCATACAAACTGAGCGATCAAAATCAGGGTAAAGATATTTGTATACTTTATACAAAAAATGCACTTGTGAAGGCTCCGAAGTTAACGTTGTTTATTGGTCGTTTAAGAAATAGTGACCATTATTTAGGTTGTCAAAAAACTCTTGCGGTATTTTTATTGAATTTTCAATTGTTCATAAATTTTTTTTTGATGACTCATGATTAGCTCTAAATGCTACGGCTGCTACTATGCCGGTCTCTTTCGACCAATTCAGCGATTTTATCGCAATTTTCGACGACAGGCCCTCCGGAGCGTGGCGCATCTTCGACCACCTCTACACCAGAACGGAAACGTTGAAACCATCGCTGTGCGGTGGAAATGGAAACTGTATCGGGTCCATAAACCGCACAAATTTTATTGGCGGCTTGAGATGCATTTTTGCCTTTATCGTAGTAGTACAGTAAAATATGCCGTACTTTCTCTTTATTTTGCTCCATGTTTGCGACGCTATAACTCACGAACGACTTAAAAGAAACGACAATCAATCAAACACATGTGAGCGCGTGAAATGAGCTTTCCAAAAAGGTATAGCATGATCCGATGCGACGAATAAAACTAGAGCTACGCGCTCTCAGCGCCAACTAGCGAAAATATTGCAAGACTTTTATGACAACCTTATATTGCTGTTAGAGCGGGACTGAACAGCTAATAATTTGATGTAAGGACCACCCTAATAATGTTAATGAAGGGAGCATATGACTTCTTTTCTAAATACATATGCATACATATATTCATATGTACATAAGTATATATTATGCACACCAATTTGCTGTTTTTTGTTCTTGTTGTTATGCAAATGTGTTCATTGGCCCATTTCAATGCCACTAAATTAACATATCGACACATACGACCAAATGGCCCACAAGTTCAAATACATTTACGCATATGTTTGTATGTGTGTATGCAAATAGCTTCGTATGTGTATGAGCACAGGCATATGTATCTGGGTACCAGCATCCCATACCTATGCGGGTCACTATTTTATAACACGATTTCGGCAAATATTCCAAAACTCACGTACAGATATTTATATATATATATGTATGTACTTATATAAGGGAACACTTTCATACAAATCTTATATAGCCACTTTTGCTTTTGTTTTTGACATTCTTTTCGCACATATGTTTCAATTTCACAGCTGTTGTATGGACTCGTATGTAGTTCGTATTAGCAAACATAACAGTATAAACGCTTTAAATTTTTAACGACTTCATAGGCATCCGCATTTGCATCTAATGGCTATATACACATTTAGTCCTTAAAGTGCCGATAGTATGTAGCAATAGCATCGCAGTTTCTTTGCAACTCGAACGAACTTTAAGGCATTGACATAACCGTTAAAAGTTGACGCTTTCAAGCTGGCGTTAAGTTCTGGAGTAAATGTTAGCTTGATGTGCTTTTAAAGTTGTGTGTGTGCTTTCAAATTAACTTGAATGAAAGTCAGTGGATTCCATTATCTTTATTGTTATAGCACATATGGTTCCTTTTTCTTTCTAAATTATTCTTACAGACAATTGAAAACGAAGTTCAAAATTTACATAATCTCTCTGAAGTTCGTTAAGGATTTTCTTAAACACTTATCTTTATCTTAGAATATATTAGGTTCTAGAACACATTCTTATAGTCGCTCTAAATATTATGAAGAAGAATGTACAGAACTCCGAATTATTTAATAAACTCACCATCCCATGATTCGAAAATTCTGTGCATTTTCCTCAGCGCTAGTTGGTACTACCTTACTTAGTCTCTGAATATAGGATGTTAAGGGGTGCTACGTTTTGGGTTAACGTGCCATGAATGGTGAACTCAGCAGCGATTTTGGAGAACTCCACCAAATCCAAAAAATCTTTATTCTAAATTTTCAATAAACAAACATGAATGTAACAAGTAAGGAAGGGCTAAGTTCGGGTGTCACCGAACATTTTATACTCTCGCATGATAAAGTGATAATCGAGATTTCATTATCCGTCATTTACATATTTTTTTATTTTGCTGTAAATTAATTAGATTAGATCAATTTGTGTACTTTGAGTATTGAATTGTATTTTCATTTATTTTAGTTGCATTGAAAGGACTATATCACGACAATTTTTCCACAAGGGATACCTCAGCCCAAATACCGTATTTGTTTAAAGTTTTATTCCGCTATCGTCATTGGTTCCTAATGTATATATTATACAGAGAAGGCATCAGATGGAATTCAAAATAGCGTTATATTGGAAGAAGGCGTGGTTGCGAACCGATTTCACCCATATTTCGTACATGTCATCAGGGTGTTAAGAAAATATTACGTACCGAATTTTATTGAAATCGGTCGAGTAGTTCCTGAGATATGGTTTTTGGTCCATAAAAGGGCGTCGCCACGCCCATTTTCAATTTTTAAAAAAAGCCTGGGTGCAGCTTCCTTCTGCCATTTCTTCCGTAAAATTTAGTGTTTTTGACGTTTTTCGTTAGTTAACCGACACACTTTTAGTGATTTTCAACATAACCTCTGTATGGGAGGTGGGCGTGGTTATTATCCGATTTCTTCCATTTTTGAGCTGTATATGAAAATGCCTGAAGGAAACGACTCTATAGAGTTTGGTTGACATAGCTGTAGCAGTTTCCGAGATATGTACAAAAAACTTAGTAGGGGGCGGGGCCACGCCCACTTTTCCAAAAAATTACCGCCAAATATGCCCCTCCCTAATGCGATCCTTTTTGCCAAATTTCACTTTAATATCTTTATTTATGGCTTAGTTATGACACTTTATATGTTTTCGGTTTTCGCCATTTTGTGGGCGTGGCAGTGGGCCGATTTTGCCCATTTTCGAACTTAACCTTCTTATGGAGCCAAGAAATACGAGTACCAAGTTTCATCATGATATCTCAATTTTTACTCAAGTTACAGCTTGCACGGACGGACGGACAGACAGACATCCGGATTTCCACTCTACTCGTCACCCTAATCATTTTGGTATATATAACCCTATATCTGACTCTTTTAGTTTTAGGWCTTACAAACAACCGTTATGTGAACAAAACTATAATACTCTCTTTAGCAACATTGTTGGGAAAGTATAAAAATCGAGGTTGTTCTGCGAAGATAGGTGCAAAACTTATTTCTTGAAACACTATAGAGCCAATAGCAAAGCAATGATCAAGGCAGCTAAAGTAACAATCACGTTTACACAAGTTCCATATCTTTACATTCTTCGGTATTTTTCTTATCTCCTCCACAAAAATTTGTAACACCCACAAGTAATCGTCGGAGGCACTATAAAATAAATAAATATGATTAAAGGATCAGCGTGATGAGTTGAATCAATTTACCCAGTTAACAATATCACACCAGTCGTTTCTTTCCTTCGCTATTCGGCACACTATTCGAGATACCAAGTGCAGCCAGGTCTTTACTTTTCAATTGCCTACTCAGTTCGAAGTGGCACCTGTTGGCAAAATGCTTCTGTGTTGGAATTCAAGGCTAACATTGCTGTTGGTGTCCGCTTAGCTACCTTATTTAGTCTGGAGGAAGCAGAAATAACGGCGCGGTTGTTAAGCATAATGATATCAATACCATCCGCGTACACCAGCAGCTGTACTCTTTTATGGAAAATGGTGCCTTCCCCATTTAGTTCTGCAACTCGTATTACTTTCTTCAGCAATAGATTTTAGAAGTCATACGATAGGGAGTCTCCTTGTCTGAAACCACACTTGGCATCGAACGAACGGTCTTTCACGATCCTGACGTCAAAAGGCCCTACTCATCTCTGTCCTTGTCCGGTTCATCGCATTTCTTGGACGGCAGTGACGTCAGCCTTTAGTTTTACTACCCTAGGCGGGTAGGCTACAATTAGATTTCAGCTAATCCTTAAAACGAATATGAGGGAGTTACTCTGATTTCTCTCTTTTCGGCGTGACGTCAAGCTCCACACACACGTTGGCTACCGCATCTTACACAAGGGCTACTCTCGTTTCCAGGATTCGCGGCGAGGACTCAAGAGTAGGATTTGGGTATAGCCTTACCCAAACTGATCAAAATCCAGTTTATGTATGGAAACTTTGTTCCAATCGAGATTAAGGTTTTTTGTGTTGTTAAAGCCTTAAGTTATTTTTGCAAATATCTGTCTGTTCAATTTCTTTACGTTTTCTTACTATATGAAGCTACCTTTGTCAACTGATTGAAGTTATCTTCAATTTTAATATTTGAAAAGTATTCTAATTCTTTACGGTGATTTTCTTTCAATTGCAGGTGGTTCGGACAGCAACAAAGGCAAGAGCAAGAAATGGCGCAAAATACTACAATTCCCACACATATCGCAGTGTATACACCTCAAAGACAAATTAGGTAAGCCATTTGACGGGTATTAAAAAACGATTTTTATAATATAAAAATAATATAATAACCAATACCACAGCATTAAAAAAAGTGTCTTTAACAAGCGGAAAGAGTATCAAATGGGCAGACACACAAAATCTAATTACTTCGAGGCTCTTACTTGGTACCTACATTCACACATACATACATATTTACTTTGGCCACCAATTTTAACTTTGATCCGAGACAGCACGGAGTTTTCCAGCTTGTCAGCCGTCGGCACAGTACTTTCGCTTTCTTCTTTATTTTTTTCTTGTAGGAATATCCAACCTTTTCTTTCATAATTTAGTAATTTCGCCTTTCGTGTTTGTTTTACGCATGAAAGCTCCTCTACACATGCGTAAATTGAAATGTTTACCTTTTTCATAATAATCTAATTGTGCCTCCAAAGGAGATTTTGCCAAATTTACAATCATGTAATTTAATACGTATGGCGTAATTTAATTTGAGGCTTTTCAATGTTAATGATTCATGTTGCTACTTGGGATGTACAGATAAATTAGTAAATGATACAAAAAAAATTTAATATTTTTCCACCAACTAACTAATGCTGTTAAAGTGGATTTTTCCATATTTAGGAAAACCTAAGTGAAATTGTATCCAAAATGTTTATTGTATTATTTCAACCTTGACCTTTTAGCTAAAATTACTTAAAGAGCATTTTAGTCCAAGAAAATTATGCTCATTAAATGTTGGTGTGGGTTATTGAGAACAGAACACATTTTCATATATTATATGATTTTTAAAATCCAACCAAAAATTTGTCCAAAACACTATACTATGCCCTAGGTTAGGTTAAGTTGAGTCTTACGCCCACCTAGACCTTTAGGAGCCCCAAATTCCCTCTTTTACGGAATCTAATTGTAGGTTCTTCTAACTAGTTCATTTGCTTCACAGTTCCCAGGCATATCACTATGCTCTGGAACCTATAGCATTACTTTACTATCTTAGACGAGATCCTTAGAGACTTTAGTGATCTAAAATCCACCCAACTAACTGCATATATAAAAATATTCCTCGTTGTGAACACGTTCCTTGTCAAAACAAGAAGGCCTTTTCTAATTGCTGTGATTTCCGCTTGTAAGATAGTGGTGTGGAGATAGAAGGCGATTTTGGTATGTAGTGTCGCAAAGAATACACTACCTCACACTTTGTTTTCTAGTTTGCAACCATCGGTATAGATACTTATTCCTGTGTCCCTGTCCACTTCATGCACGAGGTATTTCTTCTCCATTATTGTCCAATATTCAGTAAGCTGCTTTCTTTGCTCTAGCGTCCATGTCTAAAATTAGTCCCAAGTGTCTTACCTTATCTGCTATTACCAGCCTTTCTGGAATAATATCTTTCCTAGTGAACATTACCAGCCTCGTCTTGCTAGCATTCAAGTTCAGTCCGCATGATATGGCCCATTGATAACATTTAAAAATATCTGCATAAGGAATTCGGAAACTTACCTCTAACCAAAACTGACACATCGTCAACATGGGCCCTCCCCTCTTTCAGATTCACCGACATTTTATACTTTGTTAGGATCCAGAGAAGTGAAGATAGCACCCTTGTCCAGTTCGACACATCGTTGTAGCTTCAAGCATTGAAATTATTGACCTGCCCCTAAGGCTCAGGAAATCTTTAGGCACGTACATTATGACACTTGGCTGTATGCATAGAAAGGTTACGAAGGTATATTCTTTTATGTCCAGAGATTCAATCTCTACTACCACTGAGCCTTACATCGTATTAAAAATTGTGACGGATACATTTGTGAAGTTAAATGTTAAAATATGTCGAAGAAATTTTTTTCGGTAAATTTAATGAAATCCAATGCAAAATCATTCTTCCCAACAAGTCCTAGTTTGGACTGAGTGGGAAATTGAAAGGTAAAGTCCTCTTTGGACGAACCAAGATCAATCTCTACAAGTCCCTCATCATCTGATGAGTTGACTTTAGGAGTGCACGCTAAAGATTTTGTGAAAGTTTTATGTTCCTCTGGGCATTGGCAACGGTGACTACCGAGTCGATAGAACGGATATACGGCGATATTGACATAGTTAAGCGAATCAAGAGGCAGCGGCTACGCTACTAGGTCATGTTGTCCAGATGGAAAACAACATTCCAGCTTTCAAGGATTTCCATTCAGTACTTGCTGGTGGAAGCGGAAGAAGTGATAGACCACCACTCCGTTGGATAAATCTGATGGAGCTGCTATATTGGTATCTCGAATTGGCGACAAATTGCGAAAACTAATAACAACTGGTCGTTCTCTCTCGATTTACACTTATTGTAAATGGATGTCCTTCATCAATCTTATCTTTTAATAAGTCCATATTGCCCATCTGAATCTGTAACATTCTCACATCCTTCTGACAAGTTGTGGATTCTTTCCCAAAAAACAAAGCTTTGCGGCCAAAAATGAATCAAGTCAATTTTCTGATGTGAACCATAATCCATAGCTTTCTGCATCGATTGGAAAAAATGGCAAACAGATGGGGCAAGGTTTTGGTATAGTTTTGTCTTGTTTAGACCTCCTGTTGTTTACCAATTAATTTTTAACCATTTTCAACTTGGGGCCAAGCGTTGTCATGGTGAAAAATTATTGGCTCATCTCGAGTCGCGAATTCCGAGCGTTTCGCGAGAATCATTCCATTTAATTTAATGGGTTGTTGTCAGTAGAGTTCCGATAAATGGTTTCAGTCCATTTTATAAGCTCATAATACAGCTCGCCCTTCTGATCGCACCAAATATAGAGCATTGGAATCGTGGTTATTTGGTGTTGCCGTTGAACGTTTGCCAAGTCTCATATATGAGTTTTTGCGTTAACAGTTCCATTTTACCACACCAGTCACAATCCGATACAAAAACTTCCTTTATACATAATCCATATTTTTCTCACAGTCATTGCTTTTTATTAAAATTATATACTTAAACTCATCTCTTTGCAGATATAAGTTATGGTTACGTGATAGACCAACAACCCATCGGTCGTACTTTGTTTCGGCAATTTTGTGAAAGCAAACGGCCGATATATTTTCGGTACATTTCGTTCCTGGATGAAGTGCAGCGGTGAGTATAAAATGCATCACAATTCATATCATTATGTATGTATATACCAATTATTAGAATTTCGTTTTTGCTCTCCTCCAATGCGAAATTTAGATACGACGTGGAGTACGATGAGAATCGTATTGCCATTGCGGTCGATATTGGACGACGTTTTCTGGCTATTGACACGCCAGCCGCGCTAAATAACGGCATTTGCGATATTGGCGATGTCATACGATCGACGAATGAGAATACGGTTGATGATGACGATGCCAACATAACTAGTTCCACCATTGAGAACAACACTGCTGCAGAGACTGAAAATCACAATAATACCACCGCCATTAATAGCAGCAGCAATAATCACAAAAACTACGAGCATCACAATGGCGATGAGCACAGCAATGGCAGCAAGCAACAACAGAAACATGTTTTGAGCGATGGCAGTGCGACACATGATGCCGGCGGCTCTGGTGGCGGCGACAGTGGTGTTGATGCGGGCGATACGGTTGGTGGTGGCAGCGGCGAAGGTAGTGGCGGTGGGGGAGGTGGTGACGACACCGGCGGCGGTGATCTAAACAAGGATAGCAGTAATTGCCATTATAGCCCGGGTGTGGGTAAATTGAATCCGGCTACCGGCGATGAACTGGTGCTGGACGTGCTCAATGATGATCTGATTGCGCGAGTGCGTGACAAGATCACAAGCGGGAATAAAGAACTCTTCGAGCCGTGCGTAACGGCTGTGAAGGCTTTTCTAGCCGGTGAACCGTTTCAAGAGTTCGAGACTTCAATGTATTTCCATCGGTGAGTGTGTGGTGAAAAGAAATTTATACAAAATATGTTATTATACTTTTAAGTGGTAAAGCCAAAGTCCTAACTTCGATAGATTATTCTGGGGGTAAGAAAATCATAAGTGATACAAATCAAAATCTCGATTTCCAAGAAAGGCTCAACAGCTGACCATTCCAGTAACACATATTATCTGAAGCTAAGTTAAAAACTGCATCTCAAACAATGTAACTGTAAAGCTTTAGGTTAAATCTTAGGTGGATACGTGTGATAGTCTCCGAAAAGTTTTGAGAAAAATTCTAAGTCTAAAGTTTTACGTGCTTCAGCTGACTGATCTACGAATCTACAGCGAATTGAATAGAGGATTTGTTTTGCTATTCTGCTAACTGACACAGACTCTTGAAATCATATAATCAGCTTGACGAGCCGAGTCGATTTACTCAAGAGAGTCTGTCTGTCTGTATATATGCGAACTAGTTCCTCAGGTTTTGAGATATCGATGTGAGATTTTTCACATCTCCTTGTCTCACTAAAAAGATGCTCATTTGTTTCAACTGCCGCTATCAGACAAACTGAACGATCAAACTGAATTCCTTGTAAACAAATCAATTGAAAGCTCGGGGACTAGCTACCGTATTAAAAGGCTAAAATTCATTTTCTTTTTTTACTCAACATAGTTCACTTCAAGGGTGATACACTGATTATAGCGACCTTCCAAATTTTCGATATCATTTTTGTAATACGATTGGTCCTCTTCCTCAAAATAGTTCTCAGTTTCGGCGATCATCTCTTCATTCAACTAAAATTTCTTCCCAGCGGGAATTCTTTTGAGATCTGAAAACAGAAAATACCCGCTGGGGCCCAGATCTGGAGAATATGGTGGTGGATGTGGTAGTAATTTGAAGCCCAATTTATGGATTTTTGCCACCGTTATCACTGATTTGTGTGACACGTTGCATTGTCCTGGTAAAAAGCAGCAGCTTCTTCTTCATCAATTCCGATCGTTTTGTGGCGATACTTTTGTCCTTAAAAGTTTAATTAAGCTATTTACTAGACGCTGTGAAACCATTCTTCCTTTGTTAAGGTAGTCAATAAAGTTTATTTCATGCGCATCCCAAAAACTACAGACGCCATAACCTTACTAGTCGACCGTTGCGTTTTTCCACAATTTGGAGCGGGTTCATCATGCCGTTGAAAATTCATCCATTGTCTAATATCGACACAAAAACTCAGGTTTAGTACACTTAAACATCTTTAAACACTATTCAACTCGTCGTTGTTTTTGGTCAAAAGTGAGCTCGCGCGCACCCACTTGGCACAGAGCTTTCTCATACCCAAATATTCGTGAACGAAATGATGTACACATTCAGTAGATATCTTAAGGATGCCTGCTGTTTTTTGGAATTTTTTGATGTTTTCCTCGGTGACAACCGCTTTTGGGCATTCACTGCTTTCATAATCTTCGGTGCTCATTTCATCACGTCTAAACTTGGTGATCACAAATCCTTGGTGATTGATTTTCCCGAGGCAGTGTTCGAAAACTCGACATCAAGCCAAGTTTTTGTTGATATTCCTTTCTTATCCATTTTTTATACAATAAGAAGAGTTGCTTCACTCAAAATGATATAAATCACAAACTAATGATCCGAAAGCTGTCAAATAAATACGGGCTAACTAAAAATCAAATATCATTCTTATAGAATCACCATCTATGTGTCAGCTCAGGGTCTTTTCAATTGATTACCTATCTAAGGCATCGCTCCAATGTCCCAATGTCATGCAGAAACCCTCCATAATTGCATTGCCAAAACAAAGTATAGCTATTTTTATGTATATATATAAGAAAATACACTTGTACCTAAATATATGTATATATTGGCACTCTCTTGTGTGTAAATAAAATTAAGTTGAAAAACGCTAAAGCACTTTCTATTATCTATAAATATATCTATAATACTTAGCGATTTGCGTAAGAGGGATTTCCCAGTAAAAAATATTTTTAATATCCGCACAGACAAACACCCACAGAGACGCATATATTCGTATTTAAGTAAGCACTTGTACGAACGTGCCCGCTCATATCATAAATACTATATATCGCTGTACTCACTGGCTATTATTTGCCATCGTCAATCACATAAAACATCTGTGTAAATTATGGTATGCCATGTAAATGAAAATAGAAAAATGTTTTCTAAAATTAGATTAGCTAAAAATGCTCACATCGCTTTTTGCGCGACAAATGCCATACAAATGGCACCTGCATTTGCACTTAACCATGCATGCATACAGCTATGGACACAAAAATAGAAGGAGCTAGTTAAGAAGGCATGATAAGGTATATTATTCATAAAAATTTCAAATAAAATCCATTAACTAGTAGAAACAATAATGCATAGAAAAAACACAGGAACTTCAAATTTGATTAGATATGTATATTATCATTGGAAAGGACATTTTTTGGCAATTATTTTTTGAAGATTCTCTTCTTGATTGGCGTAGTCACCGCTTCCGCGATTATAGCCGAGTTAACAACAGCGCGCCAGTCGTTTCTTCTTTTCGCTACGTGGCGCCAATTAGATATTCCAAGTGAAGCCAGGTCCTTCTCCACTTGGTCCTTCCAACAGAGTGGACGTCTTCCTCTTCCTCTGCTTCCCCCGGCGTGTACTGCGTCGAATACTTTCAGAGCTGGAGTGTTTTCGTCCATCCGGACAACATGACCTAGCCAGCGTAGCCGCTGTCTTTTAATTCGCTGAACTATGTCAATGTCCTCGTATATCTCGTACAGCTCATCTTTTCATCGAATGCGATATTCGCCGTGGCCAACTCGCAAAGAACCATAAATCTTTCGCAGAACTTTTCTCTCGAAAACTCGCAACGTCGACTCATCTCTTATTGACATCGTCCAAGCCTCTGCACCATATAGCAGGACGGGAATTATGAGTGACTTATAGAGTTTGGTGTTTGTTTGTCGAGAGAGGACTTTGCCTCTCAATTGCCTAATCAGTCCGAAGTAGCAAAATTGGGGTCTCTCATCCGAGGCTGTTGTTGCGTTGTCATTGGGGTGGTTTTTTTACGTGGCGGGTCTCAAACCTAGCGCACAACCCTATGCAGGGAATGTTTCGCCTTGTCACTTTAGCTCGCCTTCAATCGGATGTTCTTAGGCTACCCAGAGGATACTTGGTCAAGGACCGGAAGTCGTGAGCTGCTTGAGTCATATGTAAAAGAATCGTTTCTGGCCATTCCCAAGTGAATGGCGATCAGAAATCTTTCCTCACTTGCGTGAACTTCTACACATGACTCCATCCTCCCAGCCTCGTTTTGAAGATTATCTTTTTAAAATGTTGAGTGCAGCTACGTCCAATTTTCAATGACTCGTTCGAGCATTTTGACTGGTAACTGTCGAATGACCCGCATGATATTTTGCACCAAGGCCTGAATCGAAACGGGATTGTCCGCATATCACATGATCTGGGTGACCAATCGACCGGCCCAAAACGTGAAATTATCTACACACTGAAGTTTACTATATAAATCCATTGCTTGATGTGATGTGTGATTGAGTGGCGCCGTTTTGTTGAAACCAAAAGCTTCAATTTCAGACATCAAATAGTCAATTATAAAGGCGCGGACTGATGATTACAACGGCCCACAATACATACCAAACCATTGTTTTTTCTATATGAAATGGCAGTTCTTGAAACCATTCAGGGTGCTCATCCTCCCAAATGTGGTAATTTTGCTTGTTTATATATCCATTGAGCCAGAAATGGGTCACATCACTGAATAAAATTTGGCTCGAAAACGACGCTCGAAAGGGCTTTTTAAGAACCCATAGACGAAGTGATGTCGTTTGGAAAGATCGAATGGCATCAGTTCCCAACAAAGAGCGATAATTAAAGCGATTAGCTTAGTTTCGATGGCTGAACCTCAGGGCTAAGAGGACTACTATATTTAGTACTAGAAGCCATAATAAATATGTCTCATGTATCCAATCTTATAAATCGACAAAGTACTTTGTTATATTCTTATTCCCATTAAATTAGTGGGATATCTGAAAATATCAGGCCAAAACTATTTAAGCCTTGATCTTGCAAACGCATGACAATCAAGAAGCATGGGTTTAGATGGCTTCACCTCCTCTTCTTTCATTCAACTTCTGCAGCTGAAATACCGTAAGATTATCAACCTTGCAGCGTTGACGATGTTAAGTCAATGGCTTGTTAGAACCACCCAATTAAGGGTGGCTAGCCTTAATTGCAAAGGACCCACTGGCTCTCTTGCGATAGCTTTTGTGCCAAACGGATATTGCAACAGCGCAAGACAAGTAACCCAGGCTTGGTCAAGCTCCCGCAAAGCTCAACTATCCAGTAGTAGAATGTACAAAAAAAACGGAGCATTAACCGGTTCCTATTATACTGTTAGAGGGCCTAGGATACCTTTCCTTGCTAGCTCGTGAACTTTGCAGTTATCTGCGATTCCACTATGGCCTGACACCAACACTCGATGCCATTGATAATATAACGAGATTAGGTATTCCTTAAGCAGCCTTGAATGCAGAGTTAGAAAACTCGCCGTCGTACTAATGGAGTGGATAGTCACTTTACTGAAGGAGAGCGCATTTCTAAACAGTAAATGTACCGCTAACTTCTTGTCAGCATTCTCACATATGATGTCCATCCGTGGACTATTGGGTTCCTCATCTTCAGTGTTCATTTAAGAAACCATTTACAAATTCCTCATAATACTCACCAATCCTCTTTTTGGCGTCATCAGCAGTATTGTTTATCTGAAAAGCAAGGGGCACATGTGGGCTGAAAATTTTGTAGAAGTAGGTGTGAGCCCTAAGAGCAAAATAACAAGCTTATAACAATTCTTATAAGCACAGTGTGAAAATAGATCAAATCGGATGATAACTTCGCCCACTCCCCATATAACGCTACTGTTAAAAACTACTTAAAGTGCAATAAATTAATAACTAAATACGCCAGGGACATTGATGATGATGTGAGAGGGCTTTAAAGAAGATGTAAAAATTGGACAATGGGTGTGGCCTCGCCTACTTTAAGGTAAAATCACATATCTCAGGACTTGCTCGACCGATTCCAACCAAATTTGGTACATAACATTCTTCTAACATTCTTATTACACAGTGCGAAAATGGACGAAATTAAACTCCAACCAAGCTTACCTCCTATATAACATAATATTAAATTTCATTTCAATCTTTCTTCTTCCGGTATCTATTTGCCTTCTAGTTTATTAGTCGATTTTTATCCTTACGATGGAAGACCGCTAACCTTTTCGAGCATTAGACCCGCTCCTCGAATTATTCAGACCATATGTGATAGAGGAGAGGGTGCAGGCCCATAGGTCGCAGTGAAATAACTCAATTATTTTCTATCTATCTAGAACCGTGCTTTTTCTTCCAGTGCCACTTATGAATAGATTTAGGGGTTTTGAGGTAGCCAGATATGACCTATAACGGTTTAAATGGAATACAAATTAATTATGTTTCTGTCCCGCATATTATATAAGAAAGTAATGATTTTTTCATATCAGGGTGTACGAGAAACCTTAAGTGGTTCAATACGCGTCCAATTTATAGTGGAATTTTCTAAAATTTTTAGACTTCTTGTTTTTGTGAAACAAAACTTTTTTGAAATTGAAAACAAGCTATTGTACTCATGTTGTTCACAGAACTCGTAAATAGGCCACACATTTCGTAAGCTCGGTTTGTCTATCAGTCAGCCCATTATGGTCATTAAAGGATGTTCAAAATAAATTCTGGAAATTTGTACATTACATTTATGGACATTCTGCTAAATGGTGCCAAATTGTTTGGTGTATGTATGTATATGCATGTATATACTTGCCTATCTAACGAAAATGTACTGCTGCTAACATGTATGACATAATTGCATTTTAAAATAATCCATTTCCACCTCTCTCAACACAGTTATTTGCAATGGAAATGGCTCGAGGCACAACCCATCACCTACAAAACGTTTCGCATGTATCGCGTATTGGGCAAAGGTGGCTTCGGCGAGGTCTGTGCATGTCAGGTAAGTGCCCAGAACAAAACGGATTCAAAACATACACACACATGCTATGCGAGTCTTCGAGTTGTAAGCGAGGCGAAAGTGTAAACTATGCAAATAGAATGCAAATCCCATTTTTATGGCGCTCATGTTTTACAATAAAAATACGAATGCCATAGAAATATTTTTTTCTATTCATATGTATGTATGTGTGTAGTTACACTCCACTTTCTCATCGCATTCATGTACCATTTATGGTTTCTACATTTTTTTTTTTATCGTTTCTCTTCGTTTTTGGTGTGTTTATAGGTACGTGCAACGGGAAAAATGTACGCCTGTAAAAAGCTCGAGAAGAAACGCATAAAAAAGCGCAAGGGTGAATCGATGGTGCTCATAGAGAAACAGATTTTGCAGAAAATCAATTCCCGATTCGTTGTTAATTTGGCGTACGCGTACGAGACGAAGGATGCGCTCTGCCTTGTGCTAACGATCATGAATGGTGAGTTATAAAAACAATTTAGTTTTGGTAAATAACTGTTATTTTAATGTACCTATACTGTGGTCTAGCTGTAGTCGAATATTGTGGAAAAGATTAGTGCGATTTGATTCAAGAGGCTTTATTTAATATATTTATTTTGTCGCCTTCAAAGTTACCCTCACTTATGCCAACGATTTGTACAGTGCTCGAAACACTTTTCATAAGCACTTTTTCGGACGGCCATCAGCTCTTTCATCGAATTTTGTTTTATCTCTTCGATGGACTGAAAACGGGCTCCACGGAGCAGTAATTTTAAGTTGAGGAAACAAGAAAAAATCACACGAGCTAAATTCGTTTAATACGCTGGTTGATAGATGGTACTAATTGAGTTTTGAATTTAAATTCGGTTACAACTGCGGCACGATGCGATGGTGTATTATCGCCGTGTAAAATCCTTGAATTATTCTTCTACAATTCGGGCCGTTTTCGACGATGTTCTCACGCAAAAGCGTGAATACGCCCAGTCAGAACTTTTTTTTTGACCGCCTATTCCTCCGAAACAAATTCATGATGCACCAAACTACGAATATCGAAAAAACAATAAGCATGATTTTTGAGCGGTTTTGGCGTGTTTTTTTTTTTTTTTTTTNTTTTTTTTTTTTTTTTTCTCCATTCCGATTATTGTTGACTTGTTTACATGTCAGACTCATAAACTCATGTCTCATCGGCAGTTATAATACTGTGCATGAATGTGGGATCGAAATTTGCACGATCTAGCATGTTGAAAGAGACCTGTTTACGGTACCCCTAAAAATTCAGTTTTATTGGGAAAAGGCGAGCAAGAACGCGTTTCATACAAAAAAGACCCACCAAAATCATTCGAACGGACTCGTGAGAGATTTCGTGCCCTTTGCCATCTCTCCAACATTTGCCTGACATTTTTGAAGCACGAGGCATGTCTTTAATGATCTCTCGACCGTTTTTGAAAGCTTTGTACTAATCGTAGGCTTATGTTTTCTATAAAGCTGAATCACCGTAAGCCTTTACCAACTTTCGAAAGTCGCAAAGCACTGCTGACATGTACCGATTTAGTATCTGACGACATCGCAAACAGAATGAAAATCTTAAAGTGCGGGATAGGTCTAACTAGAAATATTTTAAAAACTAACGCTAATCGGCAGATATCTCTTTACTATTCATAAATGTCTGTTAAAATAGAAACGATTACGATTTTATTGTTGTTTATGGAAAGTGTGTGTCATTGCGTTTATTTTATTTTTTTATTTTCCTTTACCACATCCCCAGGCGGTGACTTGAAATTCCATATCTATAATATGGGTGGCGATCCGGGCTTCGAAATGGTGCGTGCGCGTTTCTACGCCGCCGAAGTCGTCTGTGGACTGGAACATCTACACCAACAGGGTATTGTATATCGAGATTGTAAACCGGAGAATATATTGCTGGACGATCACGGGCATGTGCGAATATCAGATTTAGGTTTAGCCGTCGAAATACCAGAGGGTGATTTGGTGCGCGGGCGTGTCGGCACAGTTGGTAAGTACACAAAGTTTTTGGTCTCTTAACATTAATTTATACTTGTGCCGTTATTCCTAATTGTGCTGCAGGTTACATGGCTCCGGAAGTGATCGACAATGAAAAATACTCATTCTCACCGGATTGGTTCAGTTTCGGTTGTTTGTTATACGAGATGATCGAAGGCCAGGCGCCATTCCGCATGCGCAAAGAGAAGGTGAAACGCGAAGAGGTCGATCGGCGTGTGAAGGTGAGTCGGAAAATCATTTAGGAGAATAGTAAATGTTTTACAAATTACATAACGAAATCAGTTTAGGCTAAAAATCAAAAAAATTAAGGTGTGACTGAAGTTAGAGTATAATATTTAATGTTGGACTGTTTGGGCAAATATTAAATAATAAGTGAATTTGTTGTAATTTATATATATATATTCAATATTCTACAAAGTTTGCCTAATCTCGCTAATATTGATTTTTTTTTTTAATTTTGTTTTAGGAGGACAATGAAAAGTATTCCAGCAAATTTAGTGATGAGGCCAAATCATTATGTCAGCAGCTGCTCGCTAAATCCATAAAAGTACGACTTGGCTGTCGAAATGGTCGCTACGGTGCACGTGAAGTGAAATTGCATCCATTCTTCAACTGCATTAACTGGAAACGGCTGGAGGCAGGCATGGTGAAGCCGCCCTTTGTACCAGATGTAAGTAGGACGCATTTATTTTCGCCATACTGATTTGGAAAATTTTAACCGATTTCGGTATAATTCTCTGTTTTTTTTTTTTTTTTTTTGGGAGACTAAAACCATAATTAGTTAAAATATTATACGGCAAAAAGTTTATATTTACCAGTTGTTCTCCACTGGTTTTTTTTTTTTTTGCCACTCGGATGCACAGCCGTAGAGGCTAAAGTCTCATTACTGCTTTGGCAGCATGAGACCACGTAACTAGTGTGAACTCCAAGTGTGTCTTAAGGTCTAAGCTTCATGCAGTGCATCTGTTCACTTAACCGAGGTAGAGTTTGGATGTACGCGTTAGACTCAATGCCAGCAGGAATCAGTAGGATACAGAGCAACTTTGCTGCAAGGCGTTGCTACGGTGATGACAAACTTAATCTAAAACTTACTGATCTACAGAAGGTCCGAGTCCCCGCAAGACTCCAACCACCTCTTTGCATGCCCTGCTAGCCTTACACATCTGACACCTCTCTCTCTATGGTCCGACCCCTTTCGAAACAGCTCGTTTCCTGGTCCTACCGTTGGATGACCTCGATGACAACTTATTTAATCTTTACCATCGAGTGGACAGCAACAACAGTGATTATTATAGTTGAGTGTACACTGCATACGATCTATAATAATAAAGAACGGCACTTTTCCACGAATTTGTCTTCGCTGAATGCTTTATAAACAGCGTAACGGAATTTACGAATATGGTTTCTGTAGAACTTTACTTCTGAGCTAAATTTAATTTATCTCCCTTCGTATTTAGTTTATTACATAACAACATAATTTTCGAGTTAAGTCATTTCTTCAAAAACATTTTATTCCACAGCCACACGCCGTGTACGCCAAGGACGTGCTCGACATTGAACAATTCTCGACGGTGAAGGGTGTTAATATCGACGACTCCGATACGAATTTCTATAGCAAATTCAATACCGGCTCCGTGTCGATTTCATGGCAAAATGAAATGATGGAAACCGAATGCTTCCGCGAACTGAATGTATTCGGCGTCGACGACAGTCCAACGCCCGATTTGCTGATCAACGCTGTGCCGGAGCCGGAAAAAGCTGGCTGCTTTCCGTTCAGAAGAAAGGTGCTTTGATAAATATTATTGAAAAATTAACGGAAATTTGCATTTAATTAATTTTTATGTTTTTTTCTGATTGCAGAAGAAGCAACCGCTGCGCACACAGCCGATACCCATTCCCGAACACTTACTAACCACTAGTCACAGCGTTTCCTCGACGACCGTCGAAAGCTGATAGCATAAGTAAATAAGTAACAATAATGATTATTGTACGCAAGCGCATTAAATTACAAGAAAAAACGCAAAAACAAAAACAAACATCAATGAATTGGTGCAAAGCGAGCAACAAACACACGCACACACATACACACATAGATGCTGGTGTTTTCGATGTTAAACTAAAATACTACATATAAATTAATTAATGTAGCACATACACACATACATATATATGTAAGTAATCATACACATACGCACACACACACATACATACAAACGCAGTAACGTGCGCAACAAACGGCACAAAAACATTGCTATCGATTGCTGGCTTAATGAAGCGAGATTTTTGTAAACAGCCGACACATACAAACAAACTATGCACAATACAACAACAACTAACACACAAAAACACATTTTTTGCATTACATAAGCATTAGAGATTTAACAAATTTTTTGCAAATGCATTATGCAACTATCTACTTGTAGTTATATAAATGTATTCGGTTTGTAATCCTTTTGTATTGTGCAAAAGTAGCAACAAAAACAAAAAAACAAAAAAAAAAAACGACAAGCATATGCGAAAAAGTTTACAAATAACTGTAGTTATAACATTTAATAAAATATAATACATATGTATGTATTTACCGTTAGGAGCTAGGAAGCGTAGCGGTACATTTGTAATGACTACTCGTACATATTACTTTAATACTGAATGTGAAACTATCAAACAACAACAACAAAAAATACACCCAAAAGACTATGCCAACAAGAGAAAACAAAATATACATACATATACGCGCACATACATACATATGTAAGGCGCAGAAAAATAATCTAAAAAATATTAAAAATACACAAATTAATGTAATTATGAATTGTTTAGAAACTCAGTTCACAATGTAACTAGCAAACTACAATACTAATGTTTTTTTGTAAATGTTTTCTTTTTTACAACTTTGACTAAATACATACGTACATACATATATGTATGTATACAGCAGCCGTTGCATACTTAAATATCACATGTAATATATACTGCATTTACACACACACATACATACATACACAATATATATGTATTTACTAAACACAACTAATAACATATGCATTTAGCGTTTAAGCAACAACTACAAATGTTAGTAAAACAAAAGTAAAAGCGAAAAAATAAAAGTAAAATACCAAAAATTTATAGGCACGTGCAGAAATTACAAACACAAAAACACAGTTGTATTTGTGTTGAACTCGTTAGTTTGCGAATTTGTATAGTTTTAGTTATTTTGTATGTATGCTGTCATTTAGTTTTTTTTTTTTTCGTAAACTCGCAAAGGCAAATTTAAAATATTGGAAGTTGTATATGTGAAATTTGAATAATAATTATATTCATATACATAAATTGCATTTTAAATACATCAGTTATATTTTATATACATATGTACATATATACAAACTCTCAAATTAACTAGTAAAATATAAATACAAACACAATAATACATAAATACACACAAAATCGCATTAATTGTACTGATAATATATAATATAATAATTACAAAATAATAAAATATCATTTTTTATATATAAATCAATGTGTGTTCCAGCTATTCTTACAGTAAATTAATATGTAAACATTATTTTGTAAAAAAAATATAAAAAATAAACTTTAAATATTAACGAAATACAAAATATGGCACAATGTTGTACAGACTATAAACCGATGTCTCAATATTTTATTTATAACCCATAACTGCACACAAATTTTAACAAATTTTAATCTCTTACAATTTAGTAAATTTTGTTTTGCAAAAGGCTGTTCCAAAAAACTTTTTTTTTAATAATGTCACTATATAAACGATTTTTTATTAAATTTATTTAAAGAAATTGATTTTCAAGCTTTCTAAATTGTAATTGAGTAGTGGATACTTGCAAATATGTGCCTACATTTAAAATTCAATATTATTAAAAAATGTATAGGAAATTTTCAAAATTATTATTAAAGTTGGAAGTGCAATTATATATATTTTTTATTGTTGACTTTTTATTCAAGTTTTTTTAAATGATAATTTCAATTTAGTTTTAAATCTTTGGGTTATGAGATCACGCGATCTTTGTGATTTTTGAACGCCATTCAATGCCTCATTTGACTTCAATCACTTTCGGCACTTATCATAGCGATATTGCCCTCCTTAGACATTAAGAGTTACATTGAATATTTTGTTGTTGTTGTTGTAGCTGCAGAATTCTGCCGTAGTTGACGTGGATTATTTACGGGTTTCATATAGTTTCATAAAGTTATAAGTTATAACGATTCGAAAACATAGCATTGAAAATTGTAATTATGTAAACTCATTTTTGTATGTAATCCAACAAACATTTTTTTAAACAAGTGTAAAAATGTATAATTTTACGACTTTCTATTCTTACATACTGAATTTGAAATCGGAAAAACACGAAAATTCATATCGTAAACTTGATATTCTTCATCAAAACCTTGTTTCGCCAAAGTATCAGCTGAAAACTCGGAACATTTTCACCTACAACGGACCTATACAGACACGGCTACATTTAACTTGCTGTTATTTCACAATGTCAGCTTTTTCTGTTGAAAAAATATTGTAAATTTTAATTGAAATGCTCGAAAACAAAAAAGGGGCAACTTAGTTCGAAAACATCGTTGTAGGTTGCGGGGTTTATTAGATGTGTACATGAAACAAAACCCCGAATATGGGGGTAGAGAGATGACTCTCATTTCGTTTTTAGCCAAAACGTCTGTAACAATCCTACTAGAATGAGACGATGTCTTGTGGTGGTTAAAACTCCATGAGTTTTTTACCCAAAAATCCGGTCGTTTACTACAAATCGATTTACGTAGACGGTATTCCCTATTGGTCGTTGGACTTTGTGAAACAATATATGGTGAACCATGAAAGAATACGATATTGACTTTTAACCGATTTCTTTGGTTTTTTGGTTTCAGTTCTTTCTTGCCGCGCTATTCGTTCGATTGTTGGACGGTTTCGAAGTCATATTGTAAACCCACGTTCGTCACTAGTAAAGATGCATTTTATTAATATAGGGTCCTCATCTAAGTACGTTGCAAGCATCGCTTTTGTGACTTCAATTCGTTTTTCAAAAAATAAAGGTTACGAATCTTAGCATTGATACACTCCATACCCAAAAGGTTAACGAGAATGTCTTGAGTTTTATTAAACTTTCAAAACAAAACAAATCAATTCTTCAAGCTCAAATGAAAATGGAGGAAATGAAAAAAGAATTGAAATGACGAAAAACAGAAGAGAGTTACGAAATATGTAAGGCTCACTACTGCTTCAATAAAAAAAAGTATGACTTAAATGCAATGATATTGAACGCTCTAGAACTTGTTATTTTTATTGACCAAACCATATACGGTAGGTTCTATGAGAAAATAACCGGATTGAATGACTAAAAAAAAACTTTCAGTTTGTATACCAGCTATAAATTCAATAAGCGGCTTTTTAGCGAGAAAAGAACGTGTACAAAATTTCAGATCGTTATCTCAAAAACTGAAGCACTAATTCGCATATATACAAACGGACAGAGTATCTGTGGCTAAATCGACTTCGCTCAATTTTGCGGGATTTCAGATATTTTCTCTTGATATTACAAAGAAGAAGAAGAACAAGAGTTACACTATATGTGACCTGGTCTACGAAAAGGCAGCTAACGTGTGAAAACTAGTTTTCTGGGAAACAGCTGTTAAATCTCTGTTAAATCTCATCTTCCATCCGAATCAACTAAAAAGTGAAAATGGATTTTTTGGATTTTTTGACACCTAAGCCCCCTTTCCGTATACCAGGTCACATATTTTGAATTGAACTGGATGCCATTGTTGCTTTCTAGCGTAAGTTTGTAGAGACAAAAGCTTAAACTTTCCGAGCAGCGAATTGGCGATGCGAATCGTAATAACCATTCTCAATCTGCTTTGCTTTATCCTTCCTATAAGTACTATATACAATAATTCACTCAAAGATCATACACATCTCTCACAATACTTTAATGATATTTTATTTCCTTTTTATTTTTATATTTTTTAGTAAATTTTCGTACTAAAGAGTTTACAATGGACATCTGTGTAAAAACAACAAATAAAAATGTATCAACAAAGGAGCATTTATGAAAGCAGAATAACTCTGCTAAAAATAAAATTCAACTAAAGATTCGTAAAACAAAAATCGCGTTTGCAGAGCTGCGTACTTATCAGCTACACTGTATCAATAAGCAGGAAAGATGCTTCAAAACATCAACTTTTTAAGAACTAATAAAATAAATGTCTATAAATCTCATCTTGCAAAAGTTAAAAAGTAAGCAGGAAAAAACTGTTCATGCCGTAAATATACACATACATACATACGAGTACCAAAATAAAAATAAAAGCATAGATATACATATAATTTATAGTCCGTAAAAATCAAGGAAATAACTTCATTTAAAAATATTTTGTGTAATACACATTCATACATATTAATTACTTAGTACATACTTATATTGAATCAATATAAAAATAATGATACAAATACAAGAAATACATACATGCATACATATGTGCTATTTGTAATTTAAGAAAACCAAACAAAAGCTGAATTATTTAGAAACGTAACGTAATAAAAATAATAAAAGTAATAAAAACAAAAAGTATGTATAATTTATTATAGCAAGCTTAGGAGCAAGATTGTATAATGTGCGAAGAATTTAGTATGAAATAAATTATGAAAAATAAAAAATATTAATATATATATTTAACAAAGGACTTTTAAGTTTTCTTCTTAATTTGGTCAAAACCACTCGACGTGTTCTATTTGCAATGAAATCTTTGCTTGCAGAGGTCATCCTCTAAGTCCCCGAGGCAAGAGAGATGTTTTTTTTACTTCAAATCTTTAAAATATACGAATTTTTTAATTAAAAACAATACCTCTGAGACTATAGACAACAACGTCAAAGTTTTTTTGTAGTATACGGGGTAGAAACTTGCCGCGATTTTCTCCTCGTCTCACCGGCTTTCGATAGACTGAGATTGAAACATCTTGCCTGGAATTGATAACGATCAGTCGACAATAGATATTGATTGGGAAAAGTCCTTTGTTGGTACAAGACGATATTTTTACTCGAATTATTACAATTAAAGAAGTTTGTTCTCAAAAGGAAACCTCGGAGACCCTTTAAAAATATACATAAATGATCTGCATGACGAACTGTATCGATTTAGCCATGTCCATCTGTCAGCCTGTCGCTATTTACACTAACTAGTTTTCTGTTTTTGAGATATCGATTTGAAATTTTTCGCTCCGCTTTTTCTCCCCAAGCAGTTGCTCATTTGTTGGTCGCTATAGCATATAGCTGCATACAATTTGAACAATAAAAATCATATTTTTGTATGGAGAACATTTTTATCTTACGAGAAATTCTTCAGATCGGAGTATTATAACATAACTGCCATATGAAACGATCGATCAAAATCAAATTCTTGATAAGAATCGCGTCGTAAACAAATAACTACCACATCATGCGAAAAATAGTAA